ATCTTGGTGCAAACTTTACCAATTAAATTTAAATTAGCAGCTGCATTTCAAAACATGTATTCTAAAGTCTTTAAGTTCTTTTCAACATTTGAAAGAAGATTTATTTAAAAACACTTTAATAGGGTAAGCCAATGGGGAGAATAACTACGGATGGCAGATAAAAGTACACACCATTCTACAATGAGGTTGTTGAGAACACTAAGCAAGCAAAGCTTTTAGGAAATTGCTAATGATTATCTACTCTTATCACAATGTTATCTATAATATACACTGGAATATTTGTCAGCAGTATGCATAAAATGGAAATTATACATTCAAAAAGTTAAATCCTCATTGAAAACACATTTACATGGAGACAATATTATGTTCTCATGACAGAGTTGTCAAGAAAATGTTCTCTCTCTTTCTCCCACTCTACACACACACACACACACACCTTTAATTTTTAGAGAATATTCAGAATAAGATTATGTGCTGAAATGTATGTTATGAATTATCAGATCACTGTTTTTGAGAATTCAGAACAACCAGGTATGGCTCTAGATTAGTCCATTCTAAAATGATGAGGTTGGAAAATATACCAGAGATTACCACCTAAAGTAATTCCATATGCCATGAGAGATCATGGATCAAAAAGGCTTTAAAGGGCTTTATTTAAAAATAACATATTATACAAGTTGATATATGACCAATTGTTATTATATTATTTGTAGGATTTTTCTAAAATTAAATAAATAAACAAGAACCTTTCTGTCACAAATATCATAAAATACTTACATGGAAGCCATCATCTAATTCTATCCTGATAGTTTTCTATTTCTTCCTTGCTCCTCTTTGCATTGTTGCTCCCAGTAGTGTGTTTTGCAGGGGCTAAGATAGAGATTCACACTTTTTTTTATTTTTTTATCTTATTTTATTTTATTTTTTTTGTTTTTTCGAGATAGGGTTTCTCTGTGGCTTTGGAGCCTGTCCTGGAACTAGCTCTGTAGACCAGGCTGGTCTCGAACTCACAGAGATCCGCCTGCCTCTGCCTCCCGAGTGCTGGGATTAAAGGGGTGCGCCACCATCGCCCAGCTGAGATTCACACTTTTTTCCTTTGATTTTTCAAGCCAAGAAATTTGCAAAGCCACTGAAGTCTTCATGTGCCCTCTCTGTGACAAGAATTGCTCACTACAGAGACTCAACGACAGTTGTATCTACGCCAAGGTGAGTATGGGCCTGTGTAGCCTCTACTCTGAGCTCCAGTTTCTCTATGAATTAGATAGTAAAAAGCTCTCCAGTAAATAGATTTTACTGCGAAAATTGTCTCCAAAATTTTCAACAGTCATTAGTGTCACTGATGACTGAAAAAAATTAATCTGTTGCAATTACAAAGAGAATATATTTTATTTTAATATCTTTTTCTTCTTGGGTTGTTATAACTGATAATCGGCACCTTAGATTTAACCTCCACTTGACATTATATCTGATTCATTTTATGAGGATAATTACTTCCATGGCAATGATTCAATTTGTATCTTTCATGAATTTATTAGGTTGCAATACTTCCGTTGCACAGAGGGAATAAAATGTCATTTCCGAAAGTCCCATATTGCTGTCTTTCAAAATTACCCGAAGGATTTTTAAACTCCTGAAGAGCAAGCCTCATCCCAGAGCCATTAAATGAAAATCTTTAGGTTAGAATTTAGATGTCATCACATTCTAAAAGTTTCTAGGTGAACAAATTTTCATAGAAATGTAAAGAACACCAGTTTTTACAGGTTTGATTTTCAGAACAGTTTCATTAGAGGATAATTAATATGTAGTAAATTAAACTAGACCCACTGAAAAGTAAAAATCAGCACATTTTGTTAGAGTGTATGTTCCTGGGAAACCTATCACCACAGTGAAAATAATGAACACCTCCCAAACTCCTGCATGCCCTCTTACCCTCTCAACCTTCCCTGCCTCATCCACATACACTCTCCCCAGGCTCTTATGTTTAGGTAAACAATTGCAATGTGACATTCCTGATAAATATGCATGTTTCTTGACTTTTATGTGTACGGAGTTAAGTGGTATGATTTTTTTATGGTTTCTCTTGTACACTGTAACAGTTACAAAATTCATCTTACAATGTGGCATTTATCAACAGAACATTCTCATTACTGCTGAATACAATTTCATTTTCCCTATATTGATGTCTGTTATTTGTTTATATATTAAGAAATTTTCCATTATATATATAGCTTCTTAAAGTACTGATTTTTCAGTTTTCTGACTGACAATTGTTATTTCTCTTTGGTCACTATCTATAATAGAATGGTCAAGTTATATGACAGCTTTATTGTTAACTTTTGTATTATTTCAGTTTTTCTTATTGCAGAGTTGCCTGAGACAAGTCACCTATCTAAGGAAAGAGGTTTATTTCAGTTCATTTGTAAACAGAGACTGAGCTTTAGTTTTCCAGGCACCCAGGCTCAAAAAATCACACAAAATATTATATTAATTAAAACACTGTTTGGCCAATGTCTCAGGTATATTCTAAGCTACTTGTTACATCTGAAATTAACCCATTTACTGTAGATAAGATTCTGTTAAGGTGCCACTATCCGGACATCATGCTGTTCCAAACCTTCTGAGAAGTGTAAGAGGAGATACAATAGCCATAGCAGAGGAAACACAAACTCAAGTTTCCAATGTCATAGGAAGGAGATGTCCTTAAATTATCCTAGCCGTGCTCAATTATCAGAATTTGTACTGTTAAGCAAATACAACCTCCCTTCTTATATTACCCTCTGCACAACCACGTTTTAAAATCAAAGGGTTGTTCATACATCTCTTTAGCCATAAAAGCAAACTATTTTCAAATAAAACAAGACATTGAAAATGTGTTCTTAAGAAGAGCAAGACTCCATTGTTGTGCTCCTTGAAGTATTTTTTTACAAATTTCGACTGATGTTTTCTTTGAAGGAGTAAATGTTCTTTTCTGTTAGAAAAGTCAAAGCTCAAATGTTTCCTCCCAATTACCTTAGATAATCTTGAACCGTCCACAATGTGTTCAGTCACCCTCTCTCTTTATTCTGTATTTTAACGCAGCAGGTTTTTTTGTCAGTACCATAAAGTAATTAGTACTGTTTTATAGACACAGGCTAATTGCTTACCTCTGTGATTATCAATATACATTTCATGTGTAAACATGTAAAATGTAGATGTGAATCTAACAACATTATTTTGACATTACACTCCTGAACATTTTGACGTCTTCCCTGGTTCTCATTTTAGTTTTATCTCTTGCTACATGTACATAATCCACAATTAAAATATACATTCTATGAATATTACATATACCCCAATAATTGACTAATGTGTTTATAAACTGGTAATATATACGTTTGAGCTCAAACGGGCCTAAAAAGGTTTATTAGCGAACTTTTTAAAAGATAATGGAAATCACTTTAAAAGTGAATGCTACATAAACTATGAACAATTGCACCCAAAAAGCATGTTTTGTTGTTGTTTTTGGTGGTGGGGGTGGTGTTAACTGTGGCCTTATACTTCTAGTTATCTAAAAGCACAGCTGTTTCTGAAGCAGGGGGAAACCCTGATTTCTTGGTGACCTTTAAGTCCTCATATGTAAAGCCTCTATAGCTCTCTGAAAAGCTGTTCTTGTCCACTTAAAAGGGTAAACTGACAGCTGTTCAACTCCAAGACAGCTCAGGTCTCTCTGCTGGGTGTCCTGGAAACAAACAGGCTGGGTTCCCCTGCTGGGTGTAATTTTATGAGCTCCGTGTGAAAATTTTTCTATGATCCTTGTCTCTGCTGTCCATAATGATTATTATAAAAAGTGACACATAGTATTTTTAGAACCACAAAGGATATACAAACCCTTAAGGCCTATCTTGGTTGTTGCTTTTCTGTGCTAAGCTGCAGATACAACCCAGGACTTTCCTATGAATTTTAGGCAAGCTCTCTTTCGCTGAGCTAAGCATCATTCACATGTTTTTAAAAGGCTACAACTGAAATACACATTAGTATTATTGTGATGTCTTCATTAGGAATGCACTTGACTTTAGACTGAACAAGGGGAACGTCATTCTATCCCAACTTTCATTTTAAGAATGTCATTAAACTGAGAATTTGCCTCAGTCTCTTTGGGTAACAATGCTCTCATGTTCCTCTATACATTAGCCTTCCTTATTAGCAGCTTCAATTTCTGTGAGTATATTTAACTGTGGTAAATTGAACATTGAAAATACTAAATGAAATATTAATTTCAAATTAAATATTAAAAATCCAGTATTATTTATAGGTTTCTTACTCCATTCAATTCTATCTTACCGGGCACATGCATCATCTCTTTTCGTATCTGTTAATAAATCCTACCCATCTTCTAGCTATAGAGAAGCCCTTGGCTAAGAGATCTATATTCCCAGTATCAGAGCACTTGTGACTCTTGCATGGTTGCCTCATGCAGCTTGAGTGTCTCCTTCACTCACCTTACTTCATCTGAACATGTAGACACACCAGCTCACACCATTTCCACAAGAACAGTGAGCATAGTATTATTAAGATTTTTTTGCAGGTCCACATTCACATATGATCTACTGTGTGTTGTTGTATTTGCTCCATCCTACTACCTTCTGCTACTATTGTTAATCTCTTATTGTGACAGAAGCAAACAGGGCTTAGCACAGTCTGAAGTTCTCAACTCTTCGCAACATATCCCCCATGGGTATTCAGAGGACTGCTGTTGTTTCTGGGGTATTTATGTACATACCAAGTGTTTACATTAACTAATTTCTGGGCAAAGTGTTGTGCATATTAAAAGAAGTATCAGTAAAACAGATTTTATTAAATCTAAAATTTATTAAAATTAACTAATCCTTACAGTCCTGAAAATTATATTCTTTAACATTGAATAACTTTACATCCTTTATCAAGCTTTCTATCAGGTAACAACTGTTTAAAAATTTGCTTGATGATTTATGAAAAAACTTCTTAAAACAACTTACTATGAAACTCTTTACATGAAATAAATCAATACTGGACCCATGGCATTTTGAAGGACATGAAAGATCAGGAACCGTACCATAGCAGAATTCAATTGAAGAAGTTTGCTCACTACCAGATTTCTGTCTTCTCCATTCTGGAAACTTGTAACGTTTTAACTTACACACTAATATTTTATGTTTCACAGTGTTAAGTTGTTTGACTATGGTATAAAATGGCTTCTTTGAGGATCTAGAAACACTTCAAACCTAAAATAAAGGTGGGGTACAAAGGAATGAGCGGGAAGACAATAGAAAAATAATCTGTTTCTTTATCTCTGCCCATGAGGAAATTACATAAACTATTGAAGGACCAGTGAAGATCGCAGATGAATAGATTAATAGATTATATAATGTGGTAGAAACTGGGGAGAAATCACAGTACCTAATGCAAGCAATAACTTCTATTTTAGTACAGTCTTTAGTATGATTAATGTTTCTATTTTTTCTATTAAGGTAACATATTTGTTTGATAACGGAGGAACAGTCTTCTTTGCTATTTTTATGGCAATATGGGGTAAGTATTTTCTTTCATTATTCATTTTCCAACTCGGACTTTCTAACAATATTTCTGTGCTGCATACACATATGTACACGAGCGCATGTCGCACACACACATACACAGATGTGCACATGTAAGTGACACTCACACCAAATATTGATTCAGCAATAAAATCTCTAAAGATGGTGCTTGCTTTGCTTGGCCTCTTCATACATTCACTCCTTGGGAATGTAACTCTTATTTAATCCTCTAATCTCTGAGGCTTAGACCTTCAAAGACAAACTAAAACACACTTAAAATCAAAATTGAGTCTCTTACATTCTTACTGATACAAGAAGTGGTGATGAGTTTGCTTGATGATTTTACTTGTTTTGCCCTGTATTCCATACCTACAGAAAGACAGATTGTTTCACATATGACTGAACAAAAACGTATAATATATTGCAACTTCTATTCTTAGCTAGCAAGTTAAAATCAGAGAAATTATGAGTAAGTATATTCTTTAGCCTTTTCCTCCTGTTTCTCATTGAGAATCTAAAAAGCCTAATTAACTGAAACCTGATGTGTACTCATCCAAGTTGGAATTGCTTTAAGGACTTTAAGAACGCTTGGGGAAGCTATCGCTTTCCTGGCTAGAATCATTTTGCCTGCTGGCCCAGATGAATGCATTCATTGTCAACTGGTCAACCAAAGGAACTGACCATGTGTGTGCTATTGTATAAAAGTGAAATGTATTATAAGATAACAATGCTTTCATTCTTAATGCCTTATTCCTAAGGATCAGAAACTCTACTATATCATATTTCTGGCTTTGAAATAAACAAACAAACATTAATAACCATTCAAATTATGCACCAAGAAAATGCTTATTTGGTTTGTGGTCCTAGATTACAGACAAGAGTAGTGAAGAGTTAACTTCAATTTCTGGTTTAAACACAAAATATTTGAAGAAAATGCAGTTTTGGTCCCTAGATTTTGTGTGAAGAATGGTTATTATTAAGTTTCCAGTCAGTGCTACCATGGTGATGTGTATTAATTTTACCTTATTCCACAAAGGTTTCCTAGAGAAACAAACCAAAACACAAAGTATGATTATATAACGCATGCTTCAGCCCCGCTGAAGACTGTAAGGAGAGAGAGCTTTTAGGTGATGTATCCACTGTTTCCACTGCACAGCTCCTGATTGTGCAGCTCTCTCTGTGCAGATGGCCAAGCAGTGATGACGCAGAGCCTCTTGAAAGATGGATTTATTAAAAGGTCAAGATAAAGATGAATTCTTGCCCTCTGCAGCCATTCTTCTCCTAGCTTTCTTTACATTGAGGTTCGAAGTGGAGGTATATCATCCATGGGAATGCCATCTTGTATACTTTCTCTGCCTTCTGGCATGGATGCATCACTCACAGCTGAGTTGTAGTAACTAGAATTTCCAAAATTGACATCATAAGGTTCTGGTGCATTGTCTAATCGCAGGACTGAAAGAAAATAGCAAAATCAACAAAAGAGCTTTATGGCCATAGTCTGAATAACGAATGCTCTGCTACCTGATTACATTACCAGACTATAGGAATTGTTCTAGGTGATGAGCAGATATGTCTCCTATGTGGGCTTCTCAGACATTATTTTTGAAATGTTAGATAAGTAGATTTTTTCATGCCAGGTTTAATTCTATTAAAGGAAAACAGAATTTCTGAAATTCTAAGCTGGGCACAAAATTAAAAACTGGAGGCCATTCTCTTTGGAGGGATACCTTGCTCAGTCTAGCTATAGTGAGGAGGGCCTTGGAGATGCCCCCAAAGCCATGTGCTATACTTAACATCTCTGAATCAAAGAGGGGTGGACTGGGGGGAGGTAAAAGGGGCTAATCAACATTGAATTTTGTGGCTTCAATATCTGGTGAAAAAATGTTTTCTAAGTAAGTACAGTTAACAAACATCATTATTTACTGACTATCTTAATACCTTGATAGTCAACCTTGTGGAAGGAAGAAAGAGAGCTATGAAAGTATGTTTCCTTCAGTTCTGATAGATCCAAGTAATCACTCAAGATACTCTGATAGATGATTCAAGAGAGTTTTGTTTCATTTTTAGCAAAGTGAAATACTTTTCCTAATGGGCTTGAGTACATTTTTCAGAGAAAACTTGGTACTGGACATCTTAAAGTACTGCAAACTCTGACTAATTTCTAATTGGATAAGTGATCTAATTAGTTTTTAAGTAATAATACTTATTTATTAAGCCATCTGTTTACAAACAAGCCTCCTGAGAACTCTGGGTCTCTGAAGAGGTTTCCTAAACTGTATGGAAGAGATCAAAAAAGGTCTCATGGCTGACTTGCTCTTCTAGGCATCAGTCACAACTAGTAAGAATGTAAAAATTAACAGGATAAATTTTTTACATTATATACATAAGACAAGCTTGGCATTTGGAAACTTAAAAATCCTCCTGTTTAACTTTGAAACAACTTCCCTTTTTTCCATATGGATTAGTAGAAACCTATAAACAGAATTCTCCTGAATTTCTAGTTAATGGATTTGATTTGAATATGTATACTGAACTCATGAGAATTTAATGGAAGGCCACCAGTAGACTCATCAAAGGCAGGTAACTATTTGTTATGGTGGTAGAAATCCTTGTACATGCAGCAAAACAGGCCTTAACCATGAGCATAAAAGAGAGGAGCCAAACATCTGCAGTGATCTCATTTATCTTTTGTTTGAATAATATGTATCAAAATCTGCTTTTTCAGTATATATACTTATATTAATTGCAGATATTATTGCTACCCTTTAATCTCCTGTGTGTGTATATGTGTGGTGTGTACTTATGCATGTTTTCATATGTACATATATGCATATGAATACTGAAGCCCGTGTCAGGAGTCTTCTTCAAAGTATCTCTGCCTTATACATGGAGACATGGTCTCTCAGTTAATGCAGATCTTGCCAATTAGAGTACCTTCCAAATGCTGAAATTGCAGACTCTCTCAACAGAAGTTTCCATGGGTTCTTGGGATCTGAGCTCAGGTTTTTTATGCTTAGTCAGCAAGTGCTTCACCCTTTGAATTATCTATAGAACCTGGTTTGCTTTTCCAAAAACAAACCATTATATGAGTGGGAAAGTTCTTAATTGAGGTATGATGTCTTTATTTCTGTATATGTGAAGCTTTCAAATACTGTGTTTCAGGGCCACATTTCTATCTCCTCTTTATTGCTATTATTATTAATTTTAGAATAGAACTGGTTTATTTTTAAGGAATAATAATAAAATAAAATAAAATAATTTTTTTAAAAGACTAACACATTGGAGTTGGACAAAACAAACAAATGGAAGGAAAAGACCCTAAGATAAGACACAATAACGAGAGACCTACTTGTTCTCACATGCAGGGATCTCATTAAAGCACTAAATTGGATGCCATAAAATCAGGGCCTAGTGCAGACCCATGCAGGCCATGTGCATGCTACCTGTGAGTTCATGAGTTCATATGAGTTCTGATCATGCTGATATAGAAGGCATTGTTTTGGGGAGGTCCTCTATCCCCTCTGGCTCTTACAACTTTCCCCCTCCTCTTCTGTGGAGCTCCCTGAGCCCTGAGGGAAAGATTTGAAAGAGACATTCCACTTATGACCGAGTGTTCCAAAATGTCTCACTCCCTGCGTAGTGTCTGCCTATGGCTCTCTATTTGTCCCCATATGCTGCAAGAGGATTTTTCTATGATTGGCTGATCAGGGAACTCATCATAATTGTTTTTCGGGGTCTGGAATACTTTACTCAAGATGATTCCTTTCTAGTTCCATTTACCTGCAAATTTCAGAACCATATCTTTAGTATTTCCTATCACTGTCTTCAGTGATATATTTGAATTCTGGAAGTACTACTTTAAACCAGTTTTGATAAAATGAGCAAAAATTTGAAGTGTTATTGAATGTTACAAAAAGATAATGCAAATTATTATTATTACTATTATTAGTATTATTACTATCATTACTAATTATTATTTGGTGAAGGAGATGACTCTAAATGAATCTTGTCTGTTTCTGTTACCCAACTCCCTGACTTTTTTCCTACATTACTTAACTCAAACCACTGTGTGTGGGTGATGATCTGAAAACAGTTTTTACCTGGTTCATTTCTGTCATCATAAAGTCGCCGATGGGAAAACGAATCTGTCTTCCGTTGTCCACACAATAAGTAGCCTACAAGGCTAAGCAGGGATGCACCCAAAATTGCCCCTAAAATGCCTCCGAATACTATTCCTGTATTCTTATGCTCTAGAAGAAAAAAAGAAGTTACAGTCCAGAAGTAGAAAATTAGTTATTCAACAAACAAAAATATAGATGTGAAGAGTCAATATATAAAATATTTGATATGTCTTAAAATTTAGACAATGGTGACTGGGTCTCTGTATGTGTACTTTATCATGTACTCAGTATTTGTGGTATAGTGGTAAAACATAATTTATTAGAAAACTATACATCTACATTTTTACTTTCTTTGAGATACTTCCAAGTTTTTGATTTATAATCATCTTATTATTTATTATCACCAACAGTACTGAAATACCATATTTTACAGAATATCTAATTTCAGTAATTAATACTATATTCATTAAACTTTTTACAAATCCTTAATCTATGAGGAATTTTATTATTAAAATAAACTTTGACTTCGTATAATCACTATATATATTTTTATATATATTTACATATATATATATCAAACAATAAGTGAGTGAGTAACAGATAATACATCCACAAAATGCTAAGAAAATACTAAAAGGAAAAGCAATAGATATGTACAAACCAAGCAAATGAAACAAACAAAAGACAAAAGCAAGATGCTTGCAAAGCCTGCTCATAGCTCAGCTCAGATCAAGGAACTGATCAAGGAACTAAAATTGTACTCTATTCTACCCTTTGTGGAATACTTGACTTGAAAAATTAAGTAGTCATTAAAGTATTGCTTCTTTCTAGACACTAAATGCACTTTTAAGTGTCTTGAGAAGTTCTTTAATTAGGCAGATTAAGCTATTCTTAGACTATTTAATTCCACTCCTAAGAAAATCAACTCATTTGGAAACACACAAAAAAAAGTGTTACTGTGTTACTATAAAAATAAACACACCTAACAATTCTGATAAAAGAGCTATGGTATAGGTCAGTGATCAGTATTTACAACATACATTTATTGAGTTTAGACAGACAAAGAAACATTTTAAATATTCTCTCTAATTGTTGCAAGAGTGTCCAAGAATGAGGGCATGTGTAAAATTATAAAGTGAAAACCTGTAAATTTAAAGAATAAAAGCATATGTACACACATTATATTGTTATCATATTAGTTTTAAAAACCTAGATTCTAGACATTAAAATAGTTTTCATATGTTGACAACAACTTACAAATGCCAATCCGATTATGCGTTTATAGATTATAATTAATTTAGCCTCTACGAAAGTCCATCAGAAGGCACTGGGTTAATTAAAAAAAGCCCTTACTAAAAAACAATAAAATCACTTTAAACCTATGAACTTACAGCTTGCCCTGGAGAAAATTGAGCTTAATGAGCCCTTCATACACCCTCTGACATTATGTAGCCTCTGACATCATAAGTCTCTGACATCATACAGCCTCTGACATTATGTAGCTTCTGACATCATAAGTCTCTGACATACAGCCTCTGACATCATACAGCTTCAGGTAGCTTTCTTAACTTATGTTTTTAATTTGACACAGTCTGGAATGGAATTTTAAAAATGTTTATATAATAGTGTTGTGATTCAAAAATATATTTATATAGTTCTCATCAGATATTAAACTAAAAGTTAAGGATATTTTTCTTGTGGTAAGTTTGTCTAGCTATTTCTTGGACTGTCACTGCTCTGTTTTTTGTTGTATAATAACTGTGTGGGGTCAGATAATTGATAAAAGTAGTCATTTTGGTCAGTGTTCCAAAGATCACATACATGCGTATATCTTAAAGCTCATTTATAGAACACTCCTGAAAGTCTGGATTGTCTCTAAAGAGACAATGGAAATTGTTACCCGATGTCTCAGGCAGCATGTTCGCTTACCATCATAACCTTTTGCTTCACTCCCTCTTCATGCTCCCTCCTGCTAATAAGTAACATGTGCTCAATTAAGTCCTAAAACCACTACACAACTTCTACTGTTTACTCCTCACAGATAAGAATGACCCATACCACTGTAATTGCCTGCCTTTTCCTAGAATTGCACTCCTTGGATTTAAGTTATATTATTTCCCTAGAAATTCAGTCCTACATAGCCAAAAAATTAAACCCACATATATACCTTTTGGGGAGTCTGATGTATTGGAAAAAAATTTTGAATTATTGGTGAATTTTAAGGTAGGCTGTAAAGTTGTTTTTTCTTGATACATGGTAAAACCAGCAAAGTTGTCATTGTCTGTGGCAGGCCATCCAGTAGGTTCATCTGTCAGAGGGGTCACAGGTGTAGTCATCGGAGGCAGAGGGAGAATGTTGTCTGTACTGGAAATATTGTCAGGAATGTTCATGGTGTCATTGTCCAGAGACCAGGTGAAACTTTCTGATGGTGCAGAATGCGTAGGATCGGAATGTGCTGAGAAATCTGCTGTGGATGAGTTCAAAGGCAACTTGGAAACGAACCTATGAGTCAAGGGAGGGATGGAATATGTGGAGGTGGGTCTTGGGCCCTCAGTAGAACTAGCTGTTGGCCAGTTACTGGTAGAATGTATTGTTTCGTAGGTCGTGGGTAAATCCAAAACAGAGGCATCTGTCACCGTGGGTTTGGAGGTATTACTATTGTCATTCTCTGAAGTCACATTTGTCCTTCTTTCCAAAGGAATGGATTGGTTTCCCGCTGTTTTTAAATCTTCTGTGGTGTACTGAGTTACATTTCTTCCTGGATTCTTTTTCTCAGGCCTTGCAAATGGTAACCAAATGAATAGACTTGAAATCAACACAATTTTGGCTAAGGTCAACATTGCAGTCTTCTTTGGTACTGGTTTTAGTATGAGGAATCTGGAAAAAAACAATAGTCATTTGAATTATTAAGAACATTCTGAGTTTTATGGATCTTCATTACTAAAGGAAAATATCCCAAGACATAATGTTAAGATGATTATATATTTCTCACTCTAAATAATTTGTTTGGTAAAGATTGTGGATTTAATCCAGTGCCACTCAATTCTATTTTCAATATAATACTTCCTTTTAGGAAAATGCCAAAAAAAAGCCTTGTCAAATTAGTTATTTTGGTTTTTGTTTTTGTCTTTGTTTGTTTTTCTAGTGCTGAGGACCAAACCCGGGGCCTTGTGATTGCTAGGCAGGCACTCTACAGCTAAACAAAATCACCAGCCCTGCCTTATCAAGTTAGATACTGCTATTTCAAAGATCACTGAGCTTAAAACAACTAGAAAATATATTTATAATCACATGTGCATATACACAGGCTGTGAAATAACTTCTTTTATGTTGTAAATATAGGACATACAGAGCTGTGTGATTTGTTCAAACTACAAAAAGCGTGTTCTTTGTGGAGATATTATTCTGAATGCTAAGTGTAAAAATTACTCCACTGATCAGACACTAAATGCCCCATTCTCAGATCTATGAAGGAAGTCTTTGCAAAGCTCTCTTGAATACATTGTATTCATATTTACTTATTTAATTGAAGTGGAAATAACATCTGTGTTATAATAAATGAAGGATATTGTTGAGGCTATTTAATGTAAAATACCTAGGTATTTGACCTAGTTAGATTATGGAACTGTTAGGTAATAAAACCATGAAGGTGACCTCACTAACCCAAGCACACAATTCTGCTTAATACAGAAGTTCCTTATGACTGAAATAGGTGATAAGGGAAAAATTGAAAAGGTATATATGAAAATTCTGGTTTCTGTCATAAATAACCTGTAGAATTATCATCATTATAAATTGTTAATATATTATTTTCAAAGGAACTGAACTGTCTTGCAATACTGTATTAAACCTAAATCAAATAGTATAGGAAGAAACACTCAGAACAGTATCTGGCCTAAAGCCAGCACTTAATACATCAACTTCTATTTGGCATCAACCAAATATCACACTCTCTGTAGTGCAGCAGTTTGGGTCACAAGCCCTTTGGGGGTCAAATGATCCTTTCTTAAGTGTGGCCTAAGACCATCCCAAAACACAGATATTTACATTATAATTCATAACAGTAGCAAAATTACAGTTATGAAATAGGAACAAAAATAGCTGCATGGTTGGTAGTCCCTACAATACGAGGAATTGCATTAAAGGGTCGCAGCATTAGAAAGCTTGAGAGCCACTGCTATAGAGTCTTAGGGATTACAAAGTTTGCAATATCATTACACTTTATACAGTGATATCCTAAGACGGGAATAGCTTGTGTTATGTTTTTTTATATAGATGAGGAAACTGAGGCTCAGAGTGACTAGTAATAGAAACTAATAAAAAGAAGAGGAAAACAAAACACTAAAGGATGAAGTATGTTTAAGTCAACTTTTATACTTAAAAAAATGATAGCCTGGAGCTGAGAATATTTCTTAGTTGCTAACGTGCTTGCCTAGCATGCAAAAAGTTAACATTCTGTCTCTGCATTGCACAAACCTGGAAAGCTGGGGCATGCCTGTATTCCCAGAAGTAGGGAGGAATGTGGAGGAAATACAGGACCAGAGGTATAAGGTAATTCTGAGCTACATAGTTTGAGGCCAGCATAGAATATATGAGACTCCATGTCAAGCAATCTCTTCAAACAGTAAAGTCAGAGAACTGATTTGATGCTATTAAAATTGGGTTTTATTTTCCACTAAAAGATTCCTTCTTGACTCAGAAAAATAAAAAAAAAAAACAGAGAAAATTCAATTGTTAAATTTTAGGTTCTAAGTTTTTAAGATTTATTTTTATTTTATATGCATGAGGGTGTGCCTGAATGTATGTATGTTTACCACATGTGTGTCAGAAACCTGCAGATGTCAAAAGAAGGCATCAGGTATGATGGGATTGGAGTTACAGACAGTTGTGAGTTGCCATGTGGATTCTGATAATAAAGCCTAGATTTACTGGAAGAGCAGCTAGTGATCTTAACCCTGAGCCATCTCTTCAGCCCCTTGCCTGCAGTTTTTCAAAGACTTTCACTGAATTTTCATCAGAACGTTGCTGATTTTTTTTTAAATAGAGTTTAGAAACTCTCCATAATGCTCTGATTATAATTTGGATATATTCACTACACTCACCTTACACTCTGTTGCAAGTTAAAGACATCTGTATTATATTCTGATATCTTCATCAAAAGCTTAGAAATCAGCCTGAGGTTTTGCATTCCAAAGGTTTCACTGGGATATAACATCTTCCATCCATATTCTAATCACTTAAGAAAAGTCTTCTTAAAATATAAAGCAGGTAGGCACATGGGGATATTCACAGGCACATTACTTATGAGTGTCTGGCTGAAATCCACCAGTAACAGATGGAACAACAAATCCTAGCCTATTCATATGGTGAAAATTAGCATCTTATGGTTTTATGCAACAATTATGGATGATTATTATCAACATAATGCAAGACCTAAAAATCCAGTCATATTGTGTAATCCCGCAGGAAAAAGTTCAAAACAGGCATAACACTGTTAAGTTAAAAGACAAGAGACTGTAGAAGTATATATGTGAGAAAAGGATACTTTTTTTAAAATTTTTATTTAGCTCTACATTTTTCTCTGCTCACTTAAGTGGTTCTTGTATATAATCCTCGTACTGTTTCCAGACAGGAATTACAGAAGTATTTATGTTTGTGGTAATTCCATTTCCTTATATTTTATTTCCACAATATGAGTGGTTTAAGCCTTAAAATTGTTAGCATAATCAGAAAATTGTGTTATTAATTATACACTTACTATATCAGAAACTTTATACATTTTCCCATTGAATTCTTATAGACAATCATGCAGAACAAGATTTGGAACTGTAAATTGTAACATGGAGGGTCAGGCCGGCTGGTTTGGGTTTCTGTCCCACCCAGTACCCCACAACTGTTTAGCCCCAAAGAAAATCACACATAGGTCTCCATAAATTATATGCTGATTGGCCCACTAGCTCTAGCCTCTCACCGGCTAATTCTCACATCTTGATTTACCCATTTTTCTGATCTATGTTAGCCATGTGACTCAGTACCTTTTTTCAGTGGGGCAGATCACATCCTGCTGCTTTGGTACTCTGGGCAGGAGTGGGAGGGATTAACTTCCTCCTTCCCAGAATTCTCCTGTTCTCATTACATCATTTCTACTTCCTGTCTGGTTTTCCCACCTATACTTCCTGCCTGGCCAATCAGCGTTTATTTATAACATGACTGACAGAATATAGACAATTCTCCAGCACCAGTAAATAATTTATAACTAAATATTAGTGGAGGAACATAGAATGTCACGAAAGTGTTCAAGGACTCACACGAGTGAATCAAATTTAGGGATTGATTAAATCTTGGCATACATGAGTTAATGTGTGGTGGTGTTGCTCAAAAACGGGAGGGAACTGGATTCAGAGTCTCCCAAGAACATGAAAATCCTTGGCTGGTAAAGCCTTTTATGTAGTGTGGCTTAAGTGCTGACGTATTTCCTAGTCCCATCCCCCTATATACTTCAAATGCTTCGAAAATACTTAGAATACCTGGCACAATTTAAATGCTAGATGACTAGTGGAAATGTTAGCAAGTTTAAGAAACAATAACATGAAAACAACGCCCATGTTCAGTGCAAGTCTTTCTTCCTCTGGATTGTTCAATTTGCCCTTGTTTAAATGCAAGGACACACAGTCCAACGAATTGTAGGGTCAATCATACTCTGTAGAGCATTAAAAAAATGTATAACTTAGTGCATTCTCCTACCATCATGTTAAACACAGCTTCTAAATTGGATTTAAGCCATTCTAAAAATGCTGCAGACACAGGTCCACCTAGCTTAAGCGCTTCTCAAACATGATGAGTATACTTTTATCTTAACATAAAAGTAACTCCAACAACTTTATGTATGGTTTCTTGTATGATCCACATGAAAAAAAAAAAAAAAAAACCTCAGTGCATTTTTCCTAGACTTACAGCTGGTCAGTGTTCCATTCAATGAATGCCTTGTGTAGTAGGTGCATTTAAAACGCAGCTTAGCTTGGTGTAGCTACATCTACATTTCAGAGCTAGTTTTAACCCAGTGAAATCTGTACAGATCACAGCACATATAGTTATCTCTGTTTTCATCTGCGCCTGTGCTCTACTCTAGGCACTGTACTTGGCAACTCTTTGTGTCATTATTACAATACTTGGTTTACATTCTCTGCATTTAGGCATTTTTCCTCATTTCGTCTCCTAAAAATATGGTCAACAGAGGCAGGGTAAGGGTCCTTAGTAGTTCTAATTTGCTTTCAGTTTTATGTGAGCAACATAGCCTGGAGCTTTTACTCCCTTCCTGTAACGAGAATCCTCATATCACCTGCCAACAAAGTGAGCTTTATTGTGCCCGGTTCACCTTGCCTGTAACATTGAACCACCCTGGGCATCTCTCATTCCTTCACCTCACTTTTGAGTGTAACCTGAAAACCTCGGGTATCAATACTCCAAATAAGCCAAAGAACTGTTACTACCTATAACTTACCTCCTGAGGAAAGGTTTTAAAATGAGGGAAGAGAGAAACAGATAATATATCTGAATACAAGGTAATGTTAATTGAGAAATGAATCTGGCTGTAGCCATGGTATTGCAAAGACTGATTTAGGCCTGCAAGTCTGACATTTGTGTCAGGAGATAAATTTGCCTCTCCTCCCTGGCTTCTAGAGTAACCACATAACATATCTTCGGTATCTCTCTTCTCAAAATAATAGAAGAAGCCTGAAATCTAATCATCGAGTATTCAGGATGCTAGCTCTGACAGTTTGCAGAAGCAAGGACGATGTGACTCAGGTTAAGTTGGACCTGGCTGAATTAAACAGTGTACACTGTGAACAGTAAGCACTAATGATCAGGACAGTGTAAAACCTACAGAAGACAGTGGATCAAATTTGATTTTTCCCCTTTCATTTTTCCTTTGTACCTCTTCCCAACTATAAGTTCAACACATTTAGATGATGTGAAATTAAGTACGCTGGGTTATAAATGGCGTGCTTGAGTTTGCCTAAGTTCATCCACCAGCCAGATGTACTATGGAGTGGGAAGACAGTGATAAATTGAAAGATGAAATGTTCAGAGAGAGAAAAAAATAAGTTGCAAAGTACCCCCCATGTTTTTGTGGGGGGGTTGTCTTTTGTTGCACATGGGTGGGAGTAATACTGGGATCCTAATATCTACAAAAATTTAGGAGGTGTATGTATCAGAAACATACATGTCATTATCATAAACTTTTAAAACTAAGGTTAGAATTGTCATATGTGGAACAGAAAGAGAAAAGGATTTTGAGCCAATCTCTATGCCATGAGTACAGATTTTAAATGCCTAGAAACTGCATTTTTACTGCTCTTTGTATTTAACAACACTTAAAAATTAATGTTAATTTTTAAACATTATTCCCCAGGGAGAACAAAGCCTGGCTTATTCCCTTTCTTTAGTGTTTACCCTGAAAGGTGGCTTCCTATGGTTACATCTCCACGGAGAGGTTGGAAATACCTGGAGAGGAGACAAACATATTCATGGAGGCAAATCCTCCTGCTGTGTTTAATTTGGATAGCTCTTAATTGTATAATGCCATTATTCTGCCAAGCCTCCCCTTTAAACCTGAGTCATACAATTTATGCCAAGCTTTAAGAATAAGGAGGTACCCTGGCTGTGTCTGGCTGTAAATGACTGCAAGAGAAAGTGTGGAATTCATTCTCAACTCAGCCAGAAAAGTTTTAAATAATAGCATAGTTCAGGTGTTCAGAAGATACCATACATTTTGTCCCTATGGTGAATACCTGAGGGGTATAGACCATCCCACTTTGCCCTATTGCTTTTCATTGTTTCTGGTCACAGACCTTAACTTCCCAGGGAAAATGAGTTTATTTATTTGTTTCGTTTTGTTCTAAAAACTTCGATCAGCCATGTAGGTAATATTCCAGTTAGAACTTGAATACTTGGATGTTGTTGTAAGTAACCTTTGCAATTTTGGCTTGTATTAAATCCGTTCTCTAAAGCCACATTAATAAGAAATTATGTTCTAAAACTTACTATATAAAGGTTTAGAAGCATGGTCATTAAAAAATTCTACTTGTACGTGAGGGCATTCATTATATTTATTGTTTCACTTCTATTTGAGAAAGAAGGAAGAATGGATGAATGAATAATGTTTTTCTTGAAAGAAATTCTCCAAGATTTTGCTGTCACTCTACTAAAAGACTTAGATATACATAAATATCAAAAAAAAAAAAGAAGATAATGTCCCTTGCCTGCTAACTTGGGAGTCCAGTCATGAATTTCATGACTGTGAAAAAAATAGACAGATGACTACAAAGCTTAAAAGGAATGTGTCTCCAAAAATATGTTCTGAAACCGAATTCCCAAGCATGAGAGCATAGACCTCTATCACATTCCACTGTCTTTAGAAACAGCTCCTATGGATCAAAGAGAAAGTAGGTCAACAGAAAATCATCTTTTTAAAAAAGGGGGCTCAAAGGACCACAAGCTGAAAATAACGTTTTCAAACCCCACCTAAGTCCCATTCCACAGGAGGTCTTCTCTGAGTGACTTAGCCTTCTAAAATTTCTGGGAATGCCAGACGTGTGTACTTAGTATGCTAGATGACATAACGAAATGTACAGTTTTCAACTTTTTAGTTAAGAACACTGTTGAAAAAGATGAATAGAAGCTTGTAATTCAAGGCGGGTAAAAATATTTTTTCCAAAAAAAATTTAAAAAGTATTATACTTAAAAATAAACTTTAAGCCTAGATGCATACTTTTAAGCTCTTCAATTTGTGTTCCTGCTGCCAGCCCCACTTTAAACATTTTGATAGCTTGCTGAGACTTGACAAACCCTGTATCTGAGACACACATTTAAAATAATATTTTCATTGAACTCTTTCACTGGTTTAGTAAGTTAGCAACTTTGGCAATCCTTCCTAAAATTAACTCATTTAACAGTGCAAAATGTCTACTTAGAAGTTAATTAGCTAGCGAAACAATGGCCTGTTCATACCAGAGTCTCTGTAACTACTTGCTTGATTGTTCTGTCGAAGGTTGAGTCTGTGATTCTCTAGGAGAAAAGAAAGAGGGGAGAGGGAGAGAGAGAGAGAGAGAGAGAGAGAGAGAGAGAGAGAGAGAGAGAGAGAGAGAGAGAGAGAGAGAGAGAGAGAGATACAGAAAGAGAGACCTCGGGAGAAAAGGAATCCCAAGAGGCTCACACTTACCTCCAGACGTAACAGGTGTTTACAGACGGGAAATAAAATATCAAGTTGGCCTGGGTGGAATGAGTCCTAAGCGCTTGAAAGAGCAGGTGGGTTAAGTGTGACCGTGTGGCACCGAACAGGACACAGGCAGATGCGAGAGACACAAAATTAGGTGGGGTTGGCTGCCTGGCTGGTAGTATCCTCCTTGTGTAATAAAGCCACCGAGAACCTGACTGACCTGCCTCTCAGCTGTAAGCAACAGGATATCACTTCACTCAGGTCTGAAGAAAAAAAAAAAAAAAGCCCAACCCTCTAGTTTTCATAGGTTGCTTCACCAGATTTGGAGATAGGCTCCTTCCCTGCAGCAGCAGCCGCAGAAAAAGAGGATTGTTTGTTTCTTGAAGCGGGAGGCAGGTTGGTAGTATCCTCTGTTGTATTAAGAACTCTTGAACTGTTCTAGCTACCTCTTTGCAGGTAAGAAAACATGAGTCACACACCACACCTGCTTCTGTAGGCTAGTCCAAAATTATTCCACCTCATTAATAAATCCTCCAGTCCTTCTCTGCAGTGGCTCTTTGTGACCTTAAACCTGGATGTGAAAAATTCATAGGGGTTTGTAGTGATGGACTTATCTGTGTGCACTGAAATTGGTAGTATAGAAAGTTATCCATACAAAAAGTCAGTAAATGTTTATTGGGGACTTTGAGAACACTGTGGTTCTTGCTGATTTTCCAGACTTTAGGAAATCACTGGAGCCTATGTGACAATGACCCAGGAGCCTTCTTGATCAAGCAGTTTCCGCCCTTTGTTCTATTTGCTTTTACTCTCAAGTTAGAATCTAGATAATTTCCAGAATGCCTGGGTCATATTTAAATACTTGAGTTAATAACAAATTGTCATGGTTCCTTTTGCCTCCTTCCCATGTCATATCAAAGGAAGAAATGTAAAAGTGGAATAAATATTCTTCACTATTTGGAGACTGGTATCAGTCTGTCTTGCTTAATATACCTGAGGTTTACACATGGTTTCTATTGTACAAACAGACTTCCAACTGCTAAAGGGGTAAGTGAAACTTCAGCTAAAATGCATGAGCTGAAGGTTTGAGTCGAATGTATGGAAACTGCTCAGTTAAGTGGATTCAGGAAAGAATGAGGTAATTCTATAGTTTTAAATTTTCTGCACCCACAAATTATCAAGTTACTAGGAGAAGGATCTACTGAGGATTGGAATAATCTCTGTCTGAACTCAGGGAACTGAGTATGAACTAACAGCATTGGGTGTATGGTACCCCTAGACATTCTCCTAGGCGTGTATAGGAGCATCATTATCCCTTTCTGACTCCATGGTAGTAATTATATAGCTGATGACAGGCAGAAACATTGCAAAACTCTTGTGCTCCCACTCTCTCCTTTTGTTGTGCTGGGTGTCAAAGCTGTCCTGGCCCTTTCCTGAAGACGTTAGGTGAGACCACAGAATGTTTATTATCGTGGCCTTCCTACAATCATAACCATCTGATTAGAGTGAATAAGGACAAGTTCTATTTAAACACTCATCATGAGCACATCTAGAAATAAACCCCAAACTGAAACAGATACATTAATTGAATTCCTCAGTTTTATTCAGTTTTGGCCAGAATCCTTTGATTCACATGAAGCTACATGTGCATAGCTCAGATAAATTATAGATAGATAGATAGATGATAGATAGATGATAGATTAGATAGATAGATAGATAGATAGATAGATAGATAGATAGATAGATAGATAGACATGGATACATAGACGTCTCCAAAAATTTCTTACTGAAATACAGTTCCAAGCATATATGACCTTCTAAGGCTAGTTTCTCCTGAGAATCTCAACCAAAGATCAATTACTGACAATTTCATTAGCCAGACTGGATTAGATGATACATTTTTCTGTGTTTATATATGTTTTGTACTTACCCACTGTAGTACTTTCCATCTATTAATTCAGGCCATTCTATTGTTTATTATTTAAGACTGATAATTCAAACTGGGAAGAAATACTTCTTGATCTTATAGTCAAATTTAATAGGAACACATATTCCTATAGATTATGTATCTGCAAGCAAATCCTTGTAGTTTATAAGCACACTTATGGCTGTTCTGAAAACAAATACCCTTTTAGATCCACATATATATGCAATAACATCCTTGCGTGCCTACATGCATAATTTTGCTAAGTGAAGTTGTGAAGTTGATAAGCCACTAGAATTAACTTTAAGTGATAGATTCTATATGATCTTTGATTTTATTTCAACCAATAGTTTGAAGAGTGATATTACTGTAACAAAATTTGTCCCATTATTTTGTAAGCACATCCTCTCAGTATGCTAGTCATAAGGAGTAAAATACACTTGATAGTGAAACAAAACACTTTGTTCTAATATAAGCAATAGAGAGCCATGGATTATTGAATCAACTAAAGAAAAACATACTGATTGGTGACCTGATGAAATGTAAGCGTAATAAAATTTATATTATGCATTTAATGCTGGATATATTATATAGTCATTCTGAATATTAAATTTGAGACTATATTTTGTTTTATTAATGATATGATGGCTCCTATTCAGGTTGTTTAAGATATGAATGATGACAAGAAAAAGAAATTAGGTATTATTGTTTTTTAAAGAAATAGGACAACATAATTAACAAGTATTTTCTAATATGTAAAAACATTAATTTTCAAAAACAAGGGTAGAATGGGAAATAGATTTAAAGACAAAGTAAACTATTAAATTTGCAAAGAAAATAATGGTTTATTAAATTTTCATTTTTCAGGAGATACAAGGTATAAAGGATCATTATGAAAAATTACCCCCAACAATGCTACAAAATGTTCAGTGATCCAACAACAGTTTATTAGCTTATTGGGTATTTTTCTGTGTAGTAAAAGGCCTGACAGAAGTTGCCCACTGTGTCTACTTATTTATCCTTCAATTTCTGTAAACTAAAGATAGAAAATGGTTGTGGGCTTCTCCTCCATAAGCACTTAAAAATAAATTTCTTTCTTTGTGTTCCCTATTTTAACAAGGCCATGCTCTGCTTATGTTAGCAGACTGCTTTCCAGTACACAGCTCCACTGCCTGCTCGTTCAGTATAAGACTTCTCGGGCTCATTCTGGCGAGGTTCTCAGTTCTCATACGCAGGGAGGCAGCTGTGTGCGTGGTAAGGCAAGTTTGGCCACTGAGTCATAGTTTCTTTATTGAGTCCTGATTTTGCTGCTTACTCATTTCATAATTGTGACTAGTCATATTTCTAAGGCTGCCCTCTCATTTGTAAAACAGTGAAAGTAACTCCTACTCCCTAGTTGCCTGTGGGGAAACCAATGACGTTAATGTGGGGAAAAAAGAGATCAACTAGGCCCAGTTAAAGACAAGCCTGATCATTTTTATTTTTGAAATGTAACTTAAAGCTTAGCATAGCCAGGAATAGAAGTTAAAATGGAACCAAGGGTTCAAACACTTGTTTTGAATTATTCTGAATTTGTATATATTTCTTGACATAGGAATTGGTCTATAATAGTCATTGAATAAATATGAGCAAACTATTAATATTTAATTGATTTCATTTTCCTATAGAAAGGCTTTCCCTGATCATACCTTTTATAAAACTGTAGCCCTTAATTTTTAACATATCTTATCATATTACTTATATTTCCCCAAAGCATTTATTGACCTACATAACACTTTAATATGTCTGATTCCATCAATGTTTTAGCCACAGAATTGGATTAGGATGATAGTGAAAGAACTGGCATAGAGAAATGGATCAGTAAAGGATCAATTAATAAATAATTGACTGGATGGATATATTAGTAAACAACACAATTAACATCAATGATAACGAAAATCAAGTGGATGAATAAAACACCTTTAAATTCACTGTATTCTACGTAGAATATATTTCTTGTTGTTGACTCATTCAAATCTGAAACCTGATACTGCTGTTTTCATTTAAAGTCTTGCGCTGCCTGCGTCCAGTGACTTGTACAGGTAATCCTAGAACTTCAAGGTTGAGGTAGGAGAAACAGGAGTTGAAGTCATCCTCAGCTACTTACAAGCATGGACGACATGAGATCATTCTCAAACAAAAGAAGACATCCCTTGGACATGTTTGTATTTGTAAATATATGTTCCCCTGCTGTTTCCTCTAGTAGTTAATAAGGGGGAGGTGATCCATTGCAGATATCAACCTTAGTACGGAGGACATCAGTCTTCTGTTCTAAGAATACAGAAGATATGACCACAGTGCTACCTAAGGAGATAGATGTGATGGAGAGAATACTTTCTTCCGATTGCTTTATATTTAATATTCAGGTGAACAGCAAAGTTCTTAGCAGTGACAGAAAAATAAATGATAGATCTTAAAAGGGAAAAGAAAAAAGTGTTATAACATGGCAGCCAGTGATGACTATTCATAGTTAATAACCACTAACGTAAACAAATCACTCAGTATAAATCTATGCTTTTCTGATTATGTTAATTACATGAGTACAGGAGAATGAAGAATAAAAACAAGAGAAGGAATGAGGAAAGAGAGAGGAGAGAGAAATTACAGTAAAGAGGGAAAGAAAGGACAATAGACTTGCGACAGGATCAGTAGTTAAAAATCTGAAACAAGAAATTGTGGAGGACTGGAGAAATGACTGAGTGAATAAGTGATTTATGCTCTTCTAAAGGACCTGAGATCACTTCCCAGCCTCTGTGTCAAACTTCTCATATCTGCCTATAATTCATCTCCATGGCAATTTTTTGGTCTTCACAGATACCTGCAAGCACATAGCATGTAAATACACACACACATAAGAAATAAGAAATAAAATATATCTAGATAAACAAACCGTTGAAATTTATAAATAATAAATTGAAATAGTAGATATAGTGGCTTAAGATTATGGTTATTTAAGATCATCAAATTATATCCTGAAAGGACATAATGATTCAAAGCATCTTGAATAATCCAGACCAAAGAACACAGAAGCCAGGGTACTGTGTATTGTAATTTATAAAAGTTATTTTAGGAGACTGATCGAATTTATACTAAGCCACAAGTTAAGAAGCATCTAGAGGAATTGAATGTGTGTCACCAGAGAGTATATGACTGCAACACTGAGAGGCAGAGGAAGTATGAATCAACAATGAATATTCAAACCTATAAATATTTGAAGGAGATAAAATGGCCCTG